ATACGTTTTTACATACTTGCGCACATACATTTCTACACAATATGATTACCAAGATGAATATATTTTCGTGAGTATCATACCTATGGTTTTAAGTATCAATAAATTGATGTTCATTCCCACTAACGTTTGTAGTATCATGAGGAGGTGATAAACTAAAGCGGAAAGATTTACTTTCGCTAGATCTTCCAAAAGACATGAAACAAAATACATTTTCGATTATGGAAAATTCGTTTTGATAAGATATAAGGTGGGAGGTTATGGGTTTGCAAACGAGTTGTTTGCAACTGTGAGTACTCCCGTTTTTGTTAAATGCTCAACAGTCTTCTCCTTAATCATACCTACTATGACAGTATCAATTCCACCAGTTCGCAAACGATTCCAGTTGGACTTCACACAACACGCCTTGGTTTCTTCTTTACCAATTCAATAGGAGTGAGGATCCTGGTGCAGGAAGGTTGTCGAGATGTCGGCTTCCCCCAACTCCTCGATTACATCCTTTCCCATGAGTCTTCCTATAGGCTAAAGGTGAAGTCAGGAACCCTGAACACAAGGCCTCAGCCTTCCTCCCTCGTTTTCGGGGAGAAGCCCACCCTCATCACTCCTCCTCTTGAGGTACACTACCATGGGGGATACAAGTGCATCGGGGAGCGGGGTAGAGGGTGCATCGCCATCACCGCCGCTGCTTGGTTTTGCTTCCACACATGCGTATGTTTTTTTTTGTTTTTTACTTGTTTTTTTTTATATCCCATTTATTTCCTAAGCATTACGACACCCATTAAATCCTGTTGAATGTGACAACTGCACCTGTACGATGTCAAGAATGTGTGGCATCCTTACTTATTCGGCCAGCTGGGCATCTTTCTGGAAGAGTATATCAGTTTGTCAGGATGATGACATCTTTTATGGGCGACTTCATGTTGATTAATAGCTTTCAGAAGCATTTCGGAAGGCTTTGACCTAAATGAAAACCTTTGGAGTGTGGAGAGATGAGAAAGGGGTGAAAGTGATGCAAAGTTAGTTTTCAGAATCTTATAGAATATTTCAGAATATTACCTTTTAGTTTTTCTGATATGACTGTAAAGTGGTAGGGTGTTTGCTCAGGCAAACCCCTACATAGCTGCCCAAATCGCCTTCCCTTACGATACAAGGTGTTTTTCCAAATATTCCTAGTAATCTCAGTAAACATGTTTTTACACACTCTTTCCTTACATAAGAAACCACCAGTTAGGAATGCAATTGTCCATGTATTCCTGACTTCATGCGACCTCACATGTGACCCCCACATTCACCTAACCTCAATTTGATGAATTATTATGTAAGGAAAGACCGTAGAAACACATGTACACTGAGGTCAATTGGTATGAAAACCAATTCAAGCATATTAATGGAGAACTTTGTACAGTATACAAGGTACTCTCAAAAATGAATAGAGTAGCTCTCATGATTTGGTCTAAATGTATCCCTTGACCTATGATGCATATCTGGAATGCTCACTGAAATGACTCTACTGTGCCCCGTAGTTTGAATGTTGTGAGGTAACGATGTTACGTAGTGTAATATTAGTATGTTTCATATGTCTAATATTAGTATGCTTCATATGTGTAATATTAGTATGCTTTATATGTGTAATATTAGTATGCTTCATATGTGTAATATTAGTATTTTCATATCGCGCTACATGTCCATCAGGAAATTTCGCAATCGTAGTATACGAATTAGCAAAACTAAAGGGCATCAACACCACAGTATTACGCTATGACCGTGACATCAACAGTCGACTGAAATGGTTCAGGCAAATCGAAACTTTCAAATGGAAGCACGCACTTCGTTTATAACCACATTTTTATAACTACACCTAGAGAAAAAAAAACACGAAGATGAATGACTCATTTTTGACGGAGTTTATTCTTTTTAGGGCTTAGCTTTTTTCATTAAATGCTCTTTCATTCTACATAGAGGCAGAATTTCGTGGTGCTAATTTCGGACGAAGAGATCCAGAGGATCTTCACAGAAGCTTTTGAATTGATAAAAGCAGCGAGTGGGTCAGCCGAAAGTGAGGTGCTGGAGATCTACCATCCGAGAGATTACCGAGGGTGTGAGAATTCCCTGGTGATGTGTGTTGGGATTGAAGACTCATGGGTGGTGGAATGCATCTCCCGGGCCATCCGGACCCTCATCATCGTGGATGGAGGGACTCATCCCGCGGTACAAAACCGGATGGGACTCTGGAGGGAGATGGAACATAGAGGCCTCCTCCTACGCCGCTCACAACCATCCTCCCCTGCCTTGGATTCCCTCTCACAGGATGACTGGAAGGCATTGAACAAAATGAGCCGCTTCTTAAAGGTGCATATTGTGGCGTCAGTATCATTTTCGCAATTTTTCATTCGCCTGAAATTTGTCGCGTCCTTGGCTGATAAGGCAAAGGCTTTTCATCCCTTGCCTTCTCTCTACAGATCCCTATGGGTCCTGGGATGGAGGAAGTTGCGAAGAGAAAGATAACATCTTCTAAAGGTTATGAATCAAATCGGTCAGCTTTCAGAAACTTTGCAGAATTATCGTATTCTTTTCTTTCTACGTCTTTCAAGCCTCTATAGTAATAAGATACTTGGAATGCACCTATAAATATATATGGGGTAAGACCATCCTAACCAACTCTATTGCTTAGACCGCTGAGTACCGAGAAGGAAAACAAGATTTTTACTCATAGCGTTCCTCTCTGCTCGAGAGTAAAGCTCGAGGCTGAAAATATATGTTTTCATTTTCCTAATCAGATATCCTAGACCGATAATTTTTCCTCTGAATTTTCGCTTAGGGGTGCTATGTTGCCTCTTTTCAAGTGTTGCTTCGATCTCATTGAAAGGATCTAGAAAGCTTGGTTGTGATATACCTATAAACTATTTTCAGAAACTGAAAATTCTGCGAACAGGCCTTAACTTCTCAAGTGGGGTTGACGTATGTATCCGCTATGGAGGAACTGTCCCCAGGTGTGTGTGACATATATGAGGAGTGAACAAAACGTTCCGAGACTGTTGCGTCAGTCCTTATTTACCTAGCTGAGTAGAGATTCGCTGGTGACGTAGCAACATAGTGTGTAAAGCGTCTGCGGTATTCCCGAAGTGAGACAATGCTTCATCAAGTTTTGTCCCAAACCGGGAAATATAGCTACAGTGATTCATCGAATGTTGTAAGAAAGGCATTGAGAAGTTGCCTTGTCGTACTACAAGAGTTTTTAATGGTTTTTAATGCATTTAACAAGGAAAATAGACACTTAGTTCCACCTCAACCCCAACCCCTTCCAATCATTCCCTCATGGATGGCCGCACCAGTCACCACCTTCAATGCCTTGTAAACGATTCATAATTCTATAATAAGGTTTTCTTGTATTGACAGACTCATAACAATTGGAGTTGTAGAACTTCATGTCACTCCTTGTGTATGTCGTGCTATTTTTCGAGTTAGAGTACAGTATGAAATCGAAACTCAAAATGTAAATTCGAATTCCACTCATTCTCAGATTTCTCCTGTTTACAGTTTCAATTGAGTGTTCTGTATCAGAAAGGAATTTTTGTGTTTCCCTTGACGCGCGAGGGTTTTTCACCGCACTTCACTCAGACATTCCTTGATTGCTCTCCATAGAGTCATGTCATGTTTTCTGTTTGGATGCACCTTATTTAACCGGCTCTTTATAGGCTCGATAGCACTAAAGAGTAATTTGACTCCCGCTCTTGCACCTTTCTCACCTTACACGAAGAGAAATTATCAGACGCAACTGACCTCCCAAAGTGATTTCATTTACTTCTTTAGTGCTTTCCGTCCGAGTTGCCAACACCATGACAATTCGGATCCTCTCGGTGAAGCAGTAAGTTCATCGTTTCTGGGCAGGTCTTTTCCTAGCGGAAAGCAGAAGCCATAATATTCTTCGTGTCCCTCTCAACAAGCAGGGCAATATGCATGAAAAGGCATTCAGATTGGAAAACAAAACCCCTGCTTTAAGTTATATCAGGAAATCATGCTTATGCGAATTTCGAGGTCAGGCAGAATCCTCAATGATTTGCATTACAAACAGAAAATATGATATTTATGCCTTCCCCGATATATTCCTCAGAAATGTCAGATACAACTAGGGTTTTACTGCTTGCCGCTTTTGGCCGGTGGGCTCTTACTTCAAATAGGAATACATGGAAACAAAAATTATACTTGTCAGGGAGCCCCAAAAAACAATATAGACCATGTATTTGTGCTATCTGTCTGTGTTCGTCAGTGGTTTGCATGTTACCTATTGCTGCTGTTTAGTACGTTTAACGACACATCTTTAGCTAAGTAATAGCATGAAAGAAAGTGCAATGATATCTCGTTCGTTGCCGCTTTTTTTTCTCCACCAGTTCTTAGAATTGGGCAGAAATATAATCCGATCGACATTTTTTCTGGTTCACGCATTAACTGTAATTTTTTCGCAAGTTTTGATTGTAATTTTTGTCAATCCTTTAGGCATCGGCAACATGCAAAACTTTCGATGGCCAACGGCACCGAGTGCAACACCGACGGCCGATACCGGCGGTAGCCGATACATCGGTACAGCCCTAGTTATAACCCATATACGTGGTACAGAAAGCAGCCATTAATGTTGGCTCAGAATCTTCCATGGACTACTTAAAATAGGTCTCTTGTTCTTGAACCAGGAAAATTTGGCTTCCTTTGCTTCCTCTACAAAACTTTACTGTTTTCTCCTTAATAGTTCAGAACGTAAGACTAGACTTTCCCAATTGGAAGTAAGGAATAAGCGAAAAGACCGGTTGTTTCGTCTGCAACGTTACAGCATAAAGAGAAACTTCAGTGGAAGCCACGGTAGTAAGGTTTTCAGCTAAAATTTGGCTGCCTTTTATAGTGTGGCTTCAGTTAGAAGTAGAGAAGATTGCATCCCTTTCATCCTTGTTCTCATTACCTAACTGAGATTAGTTTAATTTCTCCAGGGTTTCGATTTCTTTTCTCTTGCAGAGATGCAAAGAATTTTCGCTCTGGGGGTAGATGAAGATCAGATCCCGGGGATATGGGAACTCCGTCATCCCTCTCCGACTCTTTGGGTACAGAGCCCCCATAACGTATTGGACTTGTTCCTCACCCACTCTTCCAGGCTCATATACTGCACAGGGACGAAGGTAGAGATTCTTGCTGTGGAAGGGAAGGATCCCAATGAGGCCCCTTACGGATGGGACGAGGTACTACACGTCCCCTGTCCGTTCTTCATCAAACGGACATCAGGAGTTGTCATCGGCGATTCCCTCGTCCTCCTTGGAGGAGAGAAAAATCCCCAGGAAGCATGTCAACTGGACTTCCGTACTGAGACATGGACGACTCTCTCCCCGATGAGAGAAAAGAGAATAACGGCAGCTTCGGTGGCGTTGGATCCCCACACCCTTCTCGTCTTGGGGGGGAGTGACCTCGACAAGACATTCTCCTGTTGCGAGAGTTTGGACGTGAGAACGGGGCAGTGGTCTCCCTCATTCGAAACCCTCCCCGTTCCTCTCTCGGGTCACGCCGTCACCGTGTATGATGACCATGTATATAACTCGGGGGGATGGGACGGAAATAAGTCCAGAGGTGAGGTGTGGAGGAGCAAAGTTAATGGGTTAGGGCCATGGGAGGCATTATCATCCTTAAATATTGAGAGACACAATCATGGAATGATGGGAGATAGCGTAGGAGGACTCTCTGTTGTTGGCGGAAGACAACAAACGAGTTTCGGAAGTACAGAAATCGTTGCGACGGAGACACTTTCCCTGGATGGAGGGCAAGGATGGGCAACAAACGTGAAACTTCCCTTCAAGAAAGTGTGGCAAGCGACGGACATGAAGTGAGTTTTTTCCTGGCAATTTCATATCCATTATTCTCTTCTCTCTTGCATGGCATACTCGAGATAAACTGAAAATTTCAGCTAATTTTGTCACGTAATACCTTCGTCTTTCCATCCAGGTTCCATTGATGTGATGTTGAAATATTTTGCGGGCATGATGTGCTGGAGGTGGTGTTTAATAGGAAGCCACGATGGAAATTACACAAGTGAAACGTCCCCCTTTTCCCCACGAATCTATACCAGGAAGTCAAGAGTGCACTATGATGTACTGCACCTACTATCTTTTTCTCCCCATCAGTTGCATATTCGATAAAAAATGTAGGCCTCATTTGCGTCTACTTGTGTCCTAAACCAATCACATGTCATGCTGCCCAAAAATATTCCAACCCTGGAGAAAATCAGCCCTGGTCCATTTTGATTTCCAATATATCTCACAGAGTGATGATTTAGAAAAGTGTCACCATTCCCTTTTTCTCCACATGGAAACTTTTTGAAATAATATGCTAACATTTTTCCGTGAAATTGGAGACTGCAAAGGTGAAACTATCCGTCAATACCTCCGCTTCAATGTCTCTTGTATTATAACCCTTTCAAAAAATATATTTACTGTAGGTGAAATTGAACACGAAAATCTCATGGAAATGATACGTTATTTCCGTAGGATTTCCGGGCTTTTAGTGGTAATAAATATGCATGTCTTTATGAATTTCCCATGCATTTCCATGTTTCAATTCTTCGGAACTGACAGAAGAAATAACATCCCATGGATAAATATGCCGATAATAATGCATTAAAACTGCTATAGAATTTGTAGCAATTTAATATAATTGAAGAACCACTACGCATCGGGTCAGGGCGCAGTTTTGGGTGTGTCGCTTTTTTAAATAAATTTTTGCACCAACGAAAAGAGCAAACATATAAGGCTGAAACTTGAAGTTTACTTGAATTCAGTCACCCACCGGTGAACAGCAACCGGTGAACAGCGACAAAAGTTGGAGCCTCATTCCCTAAGGCACCTAGTATCTCCTTATGAATTTCCTTGGCAGATAAATCACGTTTTAGACAAATTTAGATTTTGACCCTGAGGTCATGACGTGGCAGTGCACATTGCACATACGAAGTGGCCATCTTTGACCCTGACCTTGATTTAAACAAGTGTCTATAACTTCTGAACTAAGATGTCCTCAGACTTAAAAATTCACCAAAATATATATGATACATACTGAATCTGTGGGGAAAAAAGAGAAGGTCTTCAGTTGAATATGAATATATGAATCTCAAAACTTTTGGAGTGCCCCACGTATTAGGGCTGGCCTGAACAAAACTGATGCGACTCCACACAAATTACATCATGTCGGCAGCAAGCCTGGAACTTCAGCCAATTCCCAGGATCGAGAAACGGAGCGCACAGTCATATTCGCCTAGGAACAACCAACTGGCAATCAATACAAAAGGGTGCGTCAAAAACTAGCGGCAAAACCTTATTATGTGGATACAGAGTGTGCTCATGTGGAATCAACGATTGTCATTTTTCTATGTAATCACCCTACTTCTCGATGCAAGGGATGCAGAAGGGATATTCTTCTTCGTGATTCTCACCTCGAAAATTCCAATTTTCAATTATTTTAACTTAAGCGCGTGATTGTTTTAGCTTAAGCGAGAGCGCGTTACTTCATCACCTGTCCCATCACCCTCTGACTACATCAGAATGCACGTAAAATCCCTTCGTCTTTGAACTCACCGAAGTGAATCGACGACGAATAATCTCTAGCCCATTCATATTTGGAATCGAGGCACTCCTGAAAGGGTGCATGCGTAGAGGTCCGTTGAACAAGTTCTTTGAAATCTGAATGTGATACGCATATTCCACCTGAACCATGCGACATTTGTACTAAACATTTTAAACTATTTCTCGGGATTGAATACGTTATTCCAGTTCGGCGCTTCTAGTCCATGCTAGTCCCATGAGTGGGTCACTTTTGCTCTGATTCGAAGCTGTCACTGTCGGCATAGTTCCCGTTGGGGCAGTTTTTGTCAGCGTTGTTCAATTTCTCCGCTGTTCCGGTTTTATGCAATCGATTTATTTCCTGTCCGCATCGGTACCCTTCGGCACAGTTCCTGGATTTTATTTTCTCTGTTACTCCTGTCGGCACTGTTCCATTCAGCGTTATCACAGTTCGGCGTTGCTCCAGTCGACGTAATTCTAACACTGCAAACTTGTGGACACTGCTTCGATTCGACGTTATTCCGTTCGCGCTATTTCCTCACGCTTTCTGACATTCACGTCCGACTACTTCTCGCCTATTTGGAAGAAAATGTGAGATACACACTTCACGTTTTTCATTTTGCGTTGTCCAATACGTTGCTCAAAATTAGCAAAACTTTTAAGAAATGGTTTCTCATGCCGCCATGAAGCCCTGCAGTAAACAATGACTATGAAAGACAACGATTGACGAATTGCGCATGCGTGTGACATGCCCAGGAAGCACCTCCTCATGGGAGTCTTCCTTCTCTCTGGAATGGACTCAACGTGGATCCTATTATAAAGGGAGGGCGAGTGGATGCTAGAGGCTCGAGTACATCGCATCCGTGTCATCCACTACAGTCTGTGTTGACATTCCGAGAATCACTAGAGAGAGAATATGCGCAGCCTGCAAGGCGGGCAATCTCCATCTCTTCCAGATCGAGCTCCCCCTGCACTCATAAACACGTAACCTATGAGAATCCCTACAGCTATCATCGCAGTTTCAAGCTCTTGAAATATCCTTATTGGTCGGAGATGTCGGCGAGACTTCGACATTCACAACTTTTTCAATAGAGATAATAACAACATACATTTATTTATATTTATTCTCTGGGCAATTACAGATACTAATTGAAATGACTGGAAAATCTAGTTTGCTTTATTCAACCTCACCCCATGTAAAGCTGCTCCTTTTTATTGGTTTACATAGTAGAGTTACATAGTAGAGAATTCCAACAGTAATTTATGAATGATTCAAATGTGAGTTTATTCGGTACACAGGCCCTCACAACTCCATTATTTCACAACTACACAAACCTATCTCCTACAGAACAAACACCAAGGATCAAGGCAGGGATGGCACTGATTTGTTGATCCACCATCCAAGAGATTACCACGAATGTGAGAATTCTCAGGTGGGAATCGAGGACTCGTGAGTGATGGAGGGCGTATCCCGTGCAATCCAGTCCCTTTTCATCGTCGATGATGGGACTTGCCCTGTGGTGCAAAGCCGAATGGGACTGTGGAGGGAGATGGAGGGGAGGGGACTCCTCCTCCACCCACCTCAGTCATCTAACATTTGGGACAGACATTTGATCGAATCGGACTATTACTGCCGGAGCCAGTATTCACATATGGGCAATTATAAGTTGCTTACTCGCGAGTTCGCTCTGAGGATTCGCTGAAAATTCACGTTATCGATTTACCGAAGAAGTCCAAAACTGATGTTGGCACCATTACCGAAAATGTTTTATATGTAGAAGTCTTTTTTGATTGTTAAATCCATTTGTTGGGACAATTTGTCTTCAAAATGAGAAAAACTTGCTGTCTCATTCTCACGTTAGTCGCGTTCATTGATCTTTCATGGCTCCTATCACATTTGTTTACTTTACACATGTCGAACTCATTATTGGTTCTTTTTTATGCGCATACTGACAGGTGTAGCACGCTGTGCCTCGGCATCTCTTTCATGTATCGCAAACTGTAGATTAAAAGTTGGCAGTGGGAATCTCGCTAAGATTGTTCTTAGTCGATGAGCCATGACAGAAAAAGGTATACTGGAAGTCCTTGGGTAGAAAGCTGCAATTGCGGCCATAGGCTACTAGTCTTATTCTCTTGGACTTCAAGACATTTCGTATTCTGTTTGAACGAAAGTCAAAATTCCTCAGGGCTCTGTCCTTGTTTTCCTCCCCTAGTGGTTAATACTGATTTCTTGTGGTCGGAAAAGTTTCTGATTCTTCAAAACGACTGTCACCTATGGTTACGAAGCAAAGCCATATGAACTGCGTTCGCTTGCCAAATTACCCACAAAAATCCACAATTATAAGAAAAACTTGCTTTCTACTTGATAGCCAGCTGCTTATCAAATTACCCAGCGAACCTTGAATCGAAAATGAAGTTGTGACAAGTAAAGGGCCGAATGAAGCTGACCTTGTGACGGGTGAGTGCCGAGTGCCATGGTGAAGTTGAGGCTGACAGGAGAGGAACTGGGCGAAGGTGACGTTGTGACCAGACAAGGAACAGGAGGAGGTGATGTCATGTCGGGTGAATGACTGGGAGAAGCTGACGTTCCCATGCAAAACGTTACCCCCTCGTTCGTCCGAATTTCACCGCTTTTCCCCTTAATCTTTACCTGAAGGGTCTTCTGACAGGTTGAGAGACCGGGGAAAACCTTTTTAAACCTTAAAACCTTTTTTTTACCTCAGTTTCACCGTCCCAATTTTACCTTAGGGGAAATTTGTTTGTAAAGGTTGTAACAGGGGAAGGACCATGCGAAGCTGACGTTGTGACAGGTGAAGGCCATGGCGAAGTTGAGGTTGTGAAAGGAGAGGGATCAGGCGAGGCTGACGTTGTGACATAAGGACCATGAAGAGTTAACGTGAAAGGAGATAGACTGGACACTTCCCCGGACAAAAATGTGGTGGAGTCTTACTATTTATGTGTACTTGTTTTCATTGCTTTTCATTTCTCACGCCCAGCCAGTGTAAGTGCTCCATCCTCTGCACTCTTTAATATGAAACCGAACGTCTTCCCCCTCTGTCCTTTATCGTTCCCCACCATGATCAAATGACCGCTACATTAAGGTCCACTCCGTTGTCGACCGGCTCCGCAATCGATGAATTTCTTACCTTTTTCTTCACAAATCCGTCTCGGACAGTCGATGCTCGGTCCCAATCTTTCCATTTATTCAGCATCTTCATGGGTCCGTGATTCTCCCATTCGATTTCTCTTTTGTATATTTTATGTTTCACTACTCTCGT